CTGGCAGGAAGCCAGGCTGTGGGTCGGCCTTTGGTAGAGCTTGCTTCATGGGAAGCCATCAATTCACTTTGAGACTCCTTTGTAATGTTTCTATTCCTCACTAGGTGGCACTATTACAACGGTATTTACAGAGCACGACTCCTCTAAGCACAGTGCTTCCAAGCAGAAAAACTGTTTTTCTGAGAGAATTCACCATCTGAGGGTAATCTAATCTAGAAGGGGTGCCAGGGAGATGGCATTAGGAATGAAGGAAGTCAAAACTACTCTTGCCCTTCCAGATGAACTTTCTGACGGTAACAAAGCATCCTGGCTAAATGCCTTTTCAAGGCTCAGGGGATTTCCAGCAGGGAAGGAGTGTAGGCATGCATACATTGGGGGAAGAACTGCCCCGCAGTTCTGGGAAAACTCAGTCACAGGCCTTCCCAGTCATCCTGCCACCAGATAGAATTGACTCCGAGTGAGGATTTCTCTAGGAGCCGATCTGGTGGCCTAGTGGATTAGGTATTGGGCTTCTAACGGTGGGTTTGAAGCCACAGACTGTTCCTGGGGTGGGGTGGGAGGGGGGAGGCTTTCTGCTCCTATACAGCGTTAGCCTTAGAAACCAACAGAGGCAGTTCTACCCTGTCCTATTATAGGCTCGCTATGCGTCAGTGAGGCTAAACTTGTACCGTATTTCCTTAAAGCGGTGTCTTCCTTAAAAGACACTAAGAGATTCAAACACTGAGAGAGTGATCTAGAGAGACCAGGGAGACCGGGAACTGGAAGAGTGGTTATGAGTAACCCGGAGACATTGGCACAGTCTCGCGATGGGTCCAGAAGAGGCAGCCCTGTGCATGGAGGGGCCATCTTCTCACCTTGGAGATGAGCACTGCTTTGGCAAAGATGGAAGCAGTGGAAGTCAGGTTTCTTACACATCACAGGTGTCAGTAGGAGGTATGTTGAGCAGGTGGTTAGGAAACAGACTGATATGAAGATTGCAATCCGTTGGGAAATGGAAGACCCTGAAGGCAAAGGTGTTAGGCATGGGTGAGTACCAGACATGGATGAGATCCTTTCTTTGATATTTTTCAAGCTGTAAAAACAAATAAATCTCATTATCCTTTAGCTTAGTAATTCTTACTTTGAGGGAGAATTATAATTATATAACCCCTTAAGAATTCAGTGAAAATAATGGACCTTCTCTCTAGATGATGCACTTATTACTAAATTCTGCATTCAGCTGCAAGGGGTTGCAGTCCCCTGAAGTGCCCATGAGTCCCAGGCTGGGAATCCCACTGAAAACTCCTGCATCAGTGGCATTCTGAAGGAGAACTGCGGGGAGAGTGAACGTTTGGGGGAGGGAGGCAGGGGGCAAATCTGTGAAGGATACCTGAGAGGTACTGGTGTGGGTGACTGAACAAGGCTGGAGAATTGCCTTCTCTGGGGATAGCTGAATCTATCTGGACTGGGTGGGGTGGGGTGGATCGCTAGAGAACCTCTCGGAGGCCTTAAGCTAAGGGACTGATGACACAGTTAAGGTGCAGGAAGGGCATTGAAATAAAGTCAAGGGGTCAAAAGCCCAAGCAGACCTGTCTTATCCAGTTGGATAAGCTCCAATGGGAAAGAGGCCTAATGACAGAGCTATATCAGAGAGCACTTGGGGACATGGACTTCATCCTCACAGAAGGCTATTTTCATCCACCACTCACTGGACTCTAAAAAGGGTCACTCAGCAAAGCCTGAGCCTCAATTTCTCATTCCAATTGCAAAGAGGAAAAATAACTAAAAATAAGGTTTTGGACCAGATGGTGCTTGGCCCTCCGAAAGAATAGCATCAGGGATCTTAAAGGTTTTGTCTTTTCAAAGAGGGAAGTGGTCTTCTTGTCTTGGAAGAAGTATAGGCATACATATACTGGGGAAAGAACTGCCCCCCTAGTTCTGGGAAAACTCAAGGGGGGACCATCCTAGCCTGTGGTTACCCTGCCATCATATACAACTGCTTAGAGGGACTGTCTCTCCAAGACCAGGTCTGATCTAAGTGAGCCATCAACTAAGTCCACATGGAAGAAGCACACCAACTTGTGGGACCCAGAAGTTGTTAGTAATATCACCCAAATCCGAAGGAGGGGATAACATCAGAGCTTACATTGTGAACACCTCGTTTGCAGAACGCTATGGGTGACAGTGGGAGCTCAGCTCAAACTCCATTTTCAGGGTCCCCCCACATGGATTAAGCCTCTGGAGAAACCCCTCTGACCATAGTTCAGGCATGTGAATATCCATGTTATCAGACAGCATTGTAGTTAGGCAGATATAGTTAGGTTTAGTATCATACCTTATTTTTTGATCTCCCTTTTGACCCATTTTAAAGTTGTTTCAGGAAAAGTGAAGGGGAAATGCATGTGGATTCAGCCTTCCGAGACTCTCCTCTGACCATTGACCAGGGATGTGAATAGCCTTGCTATCATGCAGGGCACACTGGAAAGTAGACTGCAGATTTACTTAGGTTAAAATTTAATACCTTATCGTTTTATCTCCCTTTTGACCCATTTTCAATTTGTTCTAGTTTTTCCTGTTTTCTGCTTTGCTTTAGATTGAGATTTTCTGCTTTATTTTGTTATTGTTGTTGGTTTCTTTGCTGTTGTTTGGTATATTTTTCTGTATACAAAATCCGAGATCAGTAGATCTCGATGGAGACAGTAAATGAATTAAGGGTTTCCTAGGGGTATGACAGGGAGGTTAGGGGAAATGGGGAGCAAATAACACTGAGTACAAGAAAGAAGAAAATATTCTAAAATTGTGGTGATTATTGTACAACTCTTTTTAATATGGATGAACTATTGAATTGTATGATGTGAATTTCATGCCAATAAAATGGTTTAAAAATAAATTGCAAAAAAATAAAAATAAGGCTTTGGGACTCTTTAAATTGGAGGAATTTTATTGCCTAAATTTCCATAAAGGCGTTACCATCTAGGGCTCTTTAAGTCTGGCAGGCCTAGGTTTTCACCCTGCCAAGTCCAAGTGTCTGACCTTGAACAAGCCTTGGAGTGAATCTGTTTCTTGAACTGTTGAGTGGAAATCTTAGTAGCGTTAACTTCACACTCTGGTTGGGAGATCAGAGCTGAGGGCCCTGTCTAGCACACAGGGTTTAATCAGGGATAGCTGTTCATGTTGTCATTACTGCTACATACTGGAAGAGAAGCAGGAGCTTGCCAGCAGCCCTCGGGGGCATTTTCCCACTTACAGGTCTGTTGTGGCTGCCTCTTTAGAGTCCCTAGCACACAATCCTGAACCAATGTTGAACTCGGGGTTTCTCTGGTCATCTGTATGTGAAAGTTGACCCCACAAATTATTGTTCCATGAACATTTATGGTCCACGTTGGCTCAGGGATCTCACCATGTCTTTATCCTTCATTCTGTCCTGAAAGATAAAGGTTCTTGAGATGGGGAAAGATGATATAAATCACATGAAAGTTTCCAGTAGTTTTGTTTTCCCAAAGGAGTCAGTCAGCAGCCCACCCTCCCTCAAGAGAACTGTCAGGAAACAAACATGGACCCAAGACTTCCTAAAAGTCTTAGGTAGCTAATCCTCTCCCAGCCATTTTGACACTCATTTTACACATTCAGAAGCTATGCTTCAAGAAGTTGATTTGGCTTGGGACTGAAATTCTCTCCCAGAGTGGATTCGTGCCTCCAGTGTTGTTTGTTGGTGCCTGAGCGTGCACTCGCTCACACATGCAAGCACACAAACAGTTTGTTCTGCTTCCAAATTCCGATCCAGGGCAGCTCTGAGCAATCTCCACATTTGCCCAAGGGAGCAGGCTAGAGTTGATGTCAGTGTGATCCCCCAGGGGAACACCTTACCTGCATTCTCCACCAGAGGCCTCAAGCAGTTACTTTCAGTTCCTTTGTGACGTGTCCCTACCTCGCAGCAATCCCTGGGCAAGCCCTCCCAAAGCATTACATAAGTACATCCATCCATCGGTTTCCATGGAGCCAGCTCCGGACTCCAGGCGGCGACCCCATCGGTATCAGAGTAGAAGGACATGCCATGGGGTTTGCAGTGGCTCACTTTGCAGAATAGGTCACCAGGGCTTTCTTCCAAGGTGCTTCTGAGTGTACTCAAACCTCCAACCTTTGGTTAGCAGCTGAGTGTTATCTGTAGCCACGAGGGTCTCTAACCCTTCCCTGGGACAGGGACTTAGAGAAATTATCTCACACAAGGCAAGTACTTCCCATCTGGAGTTCTGGTTACTAACAAGCCTTGTTAGTTTGGGAATCTCTGCAATTACCCTGCTTCTTCCCTAGTCCGGATTGAGGTCAAGGTCCAAGACTGAAGGGCAAGGAGGCAGAGCTGGCAGTGGCTGTCCCAACCAGGGTAGGTCAACTCCTTGGGGTTAAAAGCAAGGGGAGGGGAGGGAAGGCAGGGTCCCCGCAGTTCCACTAAGCCCTGGTCCATGCAGTGAGCCCAGAAGCCCCACCCTGCCACCCCCCTAGTACCAGTCAGCAAGGGGGGGAGATGACACCTCTTTATTCAGGTTAACACCAAGGAAAGCATTGAGAAGGGGTACACAAAGGAAGGGGGGGGGCACACAAAGTCACCACTTGAAGAGTCGGGAGGGAGGCACATCAGTTCAGGACCCTCAGGACAGCCACATGCTCCATGCCCTGGTGGGGGTGGCGGGGGAGGAGGAAGCGCCATGATAGCTTGGAACTCACAAAAGGGTAGAAGCCCCCTGAAACTAACACCAAAGCCCTAAATCCTGGCCCTCAGGGCTCACACGCTACTACACAAGTGAACACACGGCACACACACACAAGACTTCATGGAGGCAACACCAGAAGCAGCGGCAGGGATACACCGGCAGGACAGGGAACTCAGGTCAAGCAGGTGCAGCCGGGAGAGAGCGCGCTTTGGGCTGCAAGAGTCCCTCAAACGTCCCCTACATCTGGGCTGCGACTGGGCACCCTAGTCTCTGCCTGTGAGCGGGCTCTTTGTTCTCTAAACCCCGTAGGAAGAAAAGCAATCCCAGATGAAGTCGGGGGCACGGCAGGTTGGCTCTGCATGCAAAATCCTAGAGGCCGAGCTATAGGTCCCCATGCACATACACCACCAGCTCCGCCCAGCCTAGGGGTCCTTGGAACCCCCGTCCCCTGGCTTCCTAGGGCTGCGGTTCCCTCCTCACGCTTCCTTTACCCATCAGCCGCCGCAGAGATCTGTGAGGGGGAGAGGCTTCTGCAGAGCGCTGAATAGCTTGGGTTTCAGCAGAAGGGTACTGTCCGTTGCCAGAACGGAATACCCCTAATTCCTTAATATCTAGGTATATCTTTAGAGATTATTTGCCATTGTCCTACATGAGTCCTTTTTCACAATAGAAGGAAAAAAAACCAAATTTTTATTTACACAAGTCAGGGGTTCTCCTGCTGGCCGGAGATGGGGTAAAGGGGAGGGCAGGGGATAGATGGGAGTCCAGAGATGTGTGCTTCCTCTCCCGGAACCTCACCTTTCCGTCGGTAGCTGCCGCTCGCTTGGTGGGGCAGAAAGAGTGCTTGCTGCTCCCAGTGTCCTTTTCCCAACAGATCGTTCCTTGGGAGTCTCTCTCTGCCTGACCCCGGAGAGCGGACGCCCGCAGGCGGAGGGAAGCATGCTGCGCGCCGCAGTTCAGTCCCCTCGCGTCATGCACTGGGAAAGCCACAGCCAGCTGGGAAAGGTGCCCCCGCGGAGTCCCCTCACAGGGAGGCCTCGCCCTCCAGCTGCAGCAGGGTAATGTCAGACAGATCCAGGGACTTCACAAGTGGCCCATCCCCTCCAAGGAGACCAGCACCGGGGCTCTCTGGGTGCTCTCGGTGGCTGGTGGGTGTGGCGGGCACGGGCACTTCCTTCTCCTCCTCCTCCTCTTCCTCCTCCTCCTCCTCTTCTTCATCTTCGTCGTCGTCGTCGTCGTCAACATCTTCGTCCTCCTCCTCTTCATCCTCTGGATCGTGACCCAGTAAACTGCCGTCCCCGGTCCCAGGCGAAGGGTGCTCCGGCCCTTGGGGGGCGCCGGGGCCACCGACCACGCCCGGCCCACCCTGGCGGGGCGCCGTGGTCATGATCTGGCACATGGAGACGATGGCCCGCTGGTTGGCGCACACGTCGTCCGAGAGCACCTGGATGTGCGAAGCCTGCTCGTCCAGGGCGCCCCGCATGGCCCTCACGTCCTCGAAGAGGGCCTGCAGCTGGGCCTTCAGGTTCTCCATCAGCTCCTCCACGCCGCCGTTGTACTCCCCGGAGATCACGTCCCCCACGGCCGGCACGGTGGACACCTCCAGGGGCGCCGGCAGGTCGCCGCCGTCCTTGGTCATCATCTCCAGCAGACGGTCCTCCATTGAAAGGCAGAAGCGGCCGGTGGCGGCTCTGGGACCGGTGGGTCCGGCCTCCAGGGTGGGGAAGGGGCAGGGAGGGGGGTCCC